ACGGACTTGCAAAGGTAACACAGCTTTTAAGGAGAAGCTGGGCCTTCAGACTCAAGCTTCTTAAACTCTTTGTAATTCAATTCTGAGTTGGAGAGTGCCTGAAAAAATATATTTGAAGTAGATTTATATTTAAATAGAGTGACAACTTCCCAGCATAATTTTGAGTTTTCAAAAAATGCTCTTGAGATGTCTTTGAATAAATTATAAAATTCTAGCAATTTTTAAAAGCTATAGACCAGGCATTACTCACAAGCTTTTTATTTCAGAATTGATTTCTAAACTTTCAGCTTTCAACACTGCATCAAATAATCTGAAGAATTTCCAGATCTTTTGTGATGCTTTTCTCATAGGAAATAGATAGGAAATTTTAAAAATTTTTGTCAAGTCAGCTAGCATTTATTAAATAGCTACTATGTGCCAGTCACTCTTCTAAGCACTGGAAAAACTAAGCACTAAGAAAGGCAAAAGGCAGTCCCTGTTCTCTAGGAACTCACAGTCTGACGGGAGAGACAAGATGCAAACAACTGTGTACATAGAAGAGGACAAATTGGGGGTAATCCCTGAGGGAAGATACCAAGATTAAGCAGGACTGGGCAAGGCTTTTTTTCAGGAGGTGAGACTTTAATTGACTAAATTATCATCACAACTAAATCTAATAGATTCTTCCCCTCAAAGGGCCCAGGGTGCTTTGGGGCATTTGAAAGATTTATGCTCCCAAAGGGAGCTTTGTCCTTATTTGACTCTGGGGCCAGTGTACTAAAAAGCCCAATCTAAAATTTGAAAATAAAAGGGAAATAAAGTATGACAATCAGTTTTTTGATAAACTTCAGATCTTTTCCTTTTTTCAATAGCAATCCATTTAGCCTTACTTTAAGCATTCTTTTACTTTAAATGGTTTTTTTTTCCGGAAATGAGGAATTGCTGAAAAAAAGAAGCTTTAGGATACCAAGATTACAATGAACTTGGCCACAGAGTAGCATGGTTACTGTAATTTCTGAGATTCTAAAAAATTAATGAAGGTTGCTAAGGATTGTAACATATTAGGATGCAGATGACTGGAAACAATTTTTCCTTCCTTATTTTAGAGTGGAAACATTGGTGAGGAGATAGGACTTGGGGGTTGTGCTAGTAGGAAATGTTTTCAAAATTATAAAAATCATTTAACTTTTTTCTCATGTCTACTCATTTTAAGTGCTCAGCTTAGTGTGTTTTTTTCTTTAATTCACTAGAATCTAATTGTGGTGTATTTAAAAGATATGTAGAGAAGATCATATTACAGTACTTTTCATTTTATAGGGGAAGCAGAATAAGCATTTATATAACACCTGTGCCAGGTACTGTGCTAAGTGCTTTATAAATATTATCTCTTTTGATCCTCACCACAGCCCTCTATGGTAGGTGCTATTATTATCCTCCTTTTACAGTTGAGGAGACTGAAGCAAATAGAGGTTAAATGACTTGCCCAGGATCATGCAGCTAGTGTCTGAGGATGGTCTTGATCTCAGGTCTTCCTGACTCCACACCCAGCACTACCACTCCATCCACTGCACCACCCAGCTGGCTCATAGATATGTTCTGTTACAGATAGGGAAACAGAAGCCCAAAGAAGTAACTTGCCTAAGATCAAAAAACTAGTTAATGGAATAGCTGTGTCTAGACTTCTAGACTATCCAGATCTTCTTCTTCCTAGTCCAGTAATGACTTTCCTGTGTCCTAAAAATGAAACTTTTATTGCTAGTGTCCCATTTCATATCAAATTATAGGCCTACCCTAATTCAGTTAACAAATGCAACCTATCCCTGTTGGGCCTTTTATTGCTAGAGTTAGACTGAGCAAAAGAGAAAATATGAAGATATTAACTAGTTGTATGATGTTGGACTAGCAGTACAATCTCTTTGGATCTCAGTTTCTTCCTTCATAAAATGAGAGGAGTTAGACGAAATCAGCTCAGATTCCTTCACCCTCTAGGATTCTCTGATTTGATGTTTTTAAAAATAGGTCATCTGATTTTCTGTAATTATGAAGTTTAGGAGAGAGGAATGCTGGAAAGGTAACAAGTGTAGATTGTTTTTATATATTTCATACTTCAAATATGGGTCTTTAATCAATATGGATACTCTTTGCAACAGTACAACTTGCAACCACATGGTTGGTGATTACTAAATGTTTATTGAATGACTAGAACCCATCTGTGCCTTCTCATCCTGTGCAACTCCCTGCATCCTCCACAAGGAATCTAGCCAACGTGATGGAAATCTTCCTCTACATAATTTGATATTTTGTGGGTTGTCAGTGAAACAGGCAAGGGGTGTGTGTGTGTGTGTGTGTGTGTGTGTGTGTGTGTGTGTGTGTGTGTGTCTGTCTATGCATATCTGTCTTGTCTATCAGTTATCCCTCAATCACACTTTCTACGTGACCTATACATTTTAAATAAATGCAAAATATATAAAAAGCAAACACAAAATTGTAGTGCTAGTAAGAGCAGGGAGAAACAATGATAGGGATGGGAGAATAAGGAAAGGCCTTACGTTGGGCTTGGCACTTGGGCTGAATTGTGATTCCCAGAGGTGAGTGAAGAGGGAGAGTGTTCCAGGAAAGGGGAATAGGCAACCTTTGCAAAGACATGAAAGCAGGATAGAATGGCACATACAAGAAATAGTAAATAGGCTATTTTAACCTGGAATGTAGATATGTAGAAGGAAGTAATGCAAGAAATGTTTGTAAAGATAAACCTCTAAGGAATTAATATCCAGACACAGTTGTTTGGATTTTATCCAATAAGGAACATGGATCTGCTGGAACTTGTTGAATTGGGTTATGATAAGGTCAGACCTGTGCTTTAGGGAGATCAGTTTGGCAGCCTTGTGGAGCTGGATTAGATGGGTACCTATCAAGGATAGGAAGACCATTTAGGAGGTTATTGCAGTATTTGAGGCAAAGAGTGATGTGTGACCATGGAAGGGGAAAGGGAGGTTTTCTTGTGGGGTCAGATCCATTAGTTGTTAACCACTTTTCAGTTATTTTCTATCTTTCCTAGGAGGTTTTGCACTGTTACAGTCTCAATGAAATCAGCAAGTCCCAAAACAAAAGCATAATTGCAGGGCCCTGACATTTATAAGGAATCCTTAGATTTGTACTCTGCAGTAGACATCCTCCATGACAGTGGCAAGCACCCTGTTTTATGGCTTACTTGCTATTAATAATCAGAAGGTTACCAGACTAAATTGTGTCACTGTGAATAGAATGCTGGGCCTGGAGTCAGGAAGACTTGAGTTCAAATCCAGCCTTAGATACTTATTAACTGTGTGGCATTGGCCAAGTCATTTAACCTCTGTTGGCCTCAGTATCCTCATTTGTAAAGAGGATAATAATAACACCTACCTCTCAGAGCAGTTGTGAGGATCAAATGAGGTAACAACTGTAAAGCACTTAGCTTAGTGCTTAGCTATAAAAATGACATGACAGGCCTTCTAGACCCTTCACTGTCCTATGCCAAAATTCTGAGAATGCAGTAGTTTGTCCCTCTTAAAATGTGTTGCTCAAGCCAGTAAGTACAATGGGTCTATTTTTTGCCTTACTTGTTCTGAATACCATATTGATAGTAATACCATTTTAGACTGTATTATTTAATACTGCCATTGAAATAATTTGACAAAGGGAATTAGAAGTGAGGATCATCGGGACAGTTCCAGGTGACTCATAATTGAAAGTGCTGTCCACATCCAGAGAGGAAACTATGGAGTATGAATGCAGATCAAAACCTACTATTCTCACTTTTTTAAAAAAAATTTTCTTTCTCATGGTTTTTCCCTTTTGTTCTGATTCTTCTTTCACAGAATGACTGATGTAGAAATATGATTATGTATGTATAACCTATATTGGATTGCTTGCTCTCTTGGGGAGGGGAGAGAGGGAAGGATTAAAATTCAGAACTCAAAAATCTTATGAAAATGAATGTTGAAAACTATATGTAGTTGAAAAAAATACCATTAAGTGGAAAAAATTAAAAAATAAAAAGAAATGAGGATCATTTTAAAGGGGCTGTTCCTTAATGATACCTCAAATTTATGAAGTTGTTATGGAAGCCATGATGTTTTTTACATCAACAGTTTGCTTATTTTCTAAAAGTAAATTAAGTAGTCATCCAAATCTTAATTGCTTTGAGATATAGCCTGGATAACTGAAATATTAGGTCCTCTCAATTACCACTTTAATCAGTAGTTTTAATTCTTTATCTCCTTGATTTATCTGTAAGAGTTTCTTACATTTGAATGTTATCACTTTTCCCTTATTATGCTGATCTTCTTAGACTGCTGATTGGAAGTAAGTGGGATAAAAGATAGAGAAGCACAAATGAGATACAAAGGGCCTAGCCCAGGGATGACAATCCCTTCTCTATGCACAAAAGCACAGGTACACTCACTGGCCCTGTCCTCAATATCAGTGACAGCTCTATTCCCTGGGTGAAATATTGGCAAATCTAGTTTCCCTTCTCACTTGTACGTTAGTGAAGGAACTCCACCTCGTCTGCTTTAGAAGTCTTGAGCTAATATGTTTATTACTTCCCACCCCTAAGTGAACCCAGGCAGGCCTGTTTCATAATTTCCTTTGAGTTCCATAGGCCATCTTTTCTGGCATATAATATAGAAAGGAATTTGTAGTTAGGCACACCTTTTTTAAAGTGCCAACCCCTGACATCCGTGGTTAAGAAATTGGGTACTCAAGATCTTAAAGGACTGACTGAGTTGAATTATTTTTATTATATTAATTACTTGAAAATGTCACTTTTTTATTAGTTTTTGAAATAATTTGATAAATAGACATTAGAAATGAGGATATTTTTGATGAAGTGTACCATAAGTGCTTTTACTTGTTGATGATGATTGAAATACCTTAAATTTACATAATGAGTTTTTCTATGGCATTTAAAGTGGTCTGATGCCCTTTTCATTTATGTAAGTATAATCTCTCAGTGTACTATTTGTCTTTTTTTCCTTAAGAGAATAAATGCAAAGCTTCATGATGGAGTCTGTCAGCATTGTAAAGAAGTTCTGGAGTGGCGAGTAAAATACAGCAAGTACAAACCACTATCAAAACCTAAAAAATGGTGAGTTAACACGTCTCAAGATATAGTTCATTTTAGTTCAACAAATATTTATTAAGGGCATTCTGTGTGCCGGACACTGTGGATACAAAGACAAAAAAATCCACTCCTTGCCCTTAAGGAGCTTATATCTTATGCGAGCTGGGAGATGAGGGGTTAGGGTGGGGAGGAGGTATGCAATAACAATATTTCGATAACAATATATGCAGAGAAATATGAAATAGGTATACAGAGTAAACAGAAAGTATCGTCAGGAATACAGACTACTAACAGTTACAGGGGAGAGCTGGGAGTTGGGAAGGGAGAATGCTTGGGAAAGACCTCCGATGGGAAGTGGCATTTGGGCTTAGCTGAGAACAGAAGTAGGGGGATAAGGTTGCTTATGCAAAGACATGGAGGTAGGAAGTAGGGAATAGCAAGTCACCAGCAAGCATTCAGCAAGCATCTAGCAGCCTTGGCTGAAATGCTGAGAACATATTGGAGAGCAATGGAAAATGAATCTGGAAAGAATCATTGGATGAGACTGTTGACTGATGTTGATGCAACATCAGTTGTAGCAGTTCTCAAAATTTGTTACTGAACCTTTAATATTGAAAAAGGACACTTCAGAAAATGGATTCAGTAAATACAAGTGGAAAATGAGAAGCTTGCTTATTCTAGGCCCCTGGACAAAGTCCATCTTCAACCCAAATCCCACTCAGTGAAGACAGACCAATCAATCAAGAAGCATTTATTAAGTGCCTACTGTAGGTCATTATATGGTGCTTGGTCAGACTGGAAACTGGAAATGAGGAAGTTGTTAACTGTTGCATTGCTTCAAGTGAATCAAAGCTTCAGATACTCAGTTTAACCAACTGTTATTTAAAAATTATATGTAGCGCAGTAGAAGAAATAAAGATAAATTTGACAGCTATCCTTATAAGCTAATAAAAGAGATAATCCACGAATCTAAACAGCAACTGAAAATTATAAGTACAAAAGAAAGGCCCAGTTCTAAAGATGCTCTTTGAATAATTGTTGGTTAAAAATTAGTAGGGGCCTCAGAGATACTATGGTTCGACCTGTATCTGGCTCAGAATCGCTTTCAGCACTCTTGGTAAGTTGTCATGTAGCTTTTTCTTGAAGACCTCCAAGGATGAGAACTCTTGTGCTTTTCAAAGCAGCCCTTTACGTTTTTGGATTGTTTTAATTATTATTAGGAAGTGTTTCCTTATATCAAGCCTAAATTTTCCTCTTTGCAGTTGTGCCTAGTACTACCCTATGTAGCTACTCAGAGCAAGTCTATTCTTTCTTCCATTTGACCAACCTTTATAAATATTTGATGATAGCTGTCATGCCTCGTCTGCATCTTTTTGTCTCCAGTCTGTCATCAGTTCCTGTCAGCTTGTTTTCATATATGACTGTTTCAAAGCCCTTTATCCATCCTGATCATATTCATGTGGATGCTATCAAGCTTATGAATGTCAATCCAAAAACATGGTACCTTTAACTAAACATTATATTCCACACTCCAGATTTGACTAGAGTGTTATCACACCCCCTAGTCCTGGGAACTGTCAATCTGTTAATGTAGTATAAGGTTATTGTACTAGCGTTTTTTACTGCCTTTTCACACTTTTGACTTGAGGCTCTAAGCCCCTAAAACCCTATAATCTTTTTTCAGATATACTGCTGTCTAGGCTTACCTCTTGCGTTTTGTACTTAAAAATTGATTTTTTTGAAGCCAGGTATAAGAGTTTACATTATCTCCATTAAATTTCACCTTATTAGATTCAGCATGCTGTTTTAGCTTGTCACAATCTTTTTGTATCTTAATTTTTTCATCCATTGTGGTAGCTATCTCTTGAAGCTTTTTGTTATCAGCAAGTATGAGTAGACATCAGTGATAGAATGATAAAGAATAGCACAGAAACAGGCACTGATCCCTGGGAACGTCCGGTAGATTTGTCTTTCCACTTGATTTGACTTTGAATCGTAGGTCAAGCCAATTCAGCCAGTTCCTTTTCTCACTAATTGTACTGTCATTTATCCTCGTATCACTGTTATCTTGCCTAGAAGAGTAGCTCGAGAGACTTTGTCATATGTTTTGCTAAAATTTATGTAAATTGTATCTTCATCATACGCTTGATCTCCTTGCCTTGTCTGAAAGGAAAATGAGCTAAGTGTTTAATGAAGCTGTACTGGCTCTTTGTGCCTCCTTCTTCCTTTTCTAAATGCTTACTATCTCTGAAATAATACATTTTAGAAATTTGATAGAAGTTGAAGGCAAGTTCACCAACCTATATAATTTGCGAATTCTATTTTTTCCCTACTCCCTTCCCTATTTTTAAAAATCCTGAAAGTTAAGGGCAGCTAGGTTCTTAGTATCACTCTACTTATCTGGGTTATCAGCTCCCTATTAATTATTTTTGTTCTGTCCTTTGCAGTCCAGAGATCATTCTCCTTAGGAGTAAAAAAGGGAACAAAATAAAAATTCTGCCTGGTCAGTCCTTTTCATCATTACATCACTTCAAGCAACAGTCTCATCTCCTTGAGGCGCCTTCCCTTCTTTTTCTTCCCCATAAATCTTTAAAAAAATTCAGAACCTGTTTTTATTTTCCAAGACTTACAGCAGCTTTTCAGGGAACCTTATGATTGGGAGGAGAATCTTATTTTTTTCTGTGCAAAGTATTTTTATGTACCCTTCACTTGTGGTAATAACTGTTGTAGCCTGTCTCCTTGAATGTATTGAAAGTATTTCGTGTAAGCCTTTGGATTTATGATTTGCAGATGGGTCCCAGGAGTTGGCTACCCCAAGTCAAATCTCTATGCTTATAACTCTGACAAACATATCCCTTTTGGAGTCTGGGTTTTGAGGGAATAAGTCCTAAGCTGATTCTGCCGTGCAGAGAGTTAGGTATGCTCCTCAGGCTTTCTACTCTAAGCAAGTCTTTTTTTTTTTTTAGTATTTTTCTCTAATTACATGTAAAAACAATTTTCAACATTTGTTTTTAAAATTGAGTTCCAAATTCTCTCCTTCCCTCCCCACCCCGACTCGTTGAGAAGGTAAGCAATTTTATATATATTATTGTGTAGTCATGTGAAACATATTTCCTTATTAGTTATGTAAAAAAAAATTTGCTTTGATCTGTATTAACACTCCATCAATTCCTTTGCTGGGGATGGATAGCATTTTTCATCATAAGTCCTTCAGAGTTGTTTTGGAGCATTATATTGCTGAGAATGGGTAAGTCATTCACAGTTGATCATTTTACAGTATTTCTGTTACTGTGTACGATATTCTGCTGGTTCTGCTTATTTCACTTTGCATCAGTTCATGTAAGTCTTTACAGGTTTTTCTGAGAGCATCTAACTCATTATTGCTTATAGCACAACAGTATTCCATCACAATCATATAGCATAACTTCTTCATTCATTCCCCACTTGATGGGGCATCTCTTCAGTTTTCAGTTCTTTACCACCAGAAAAGAGCTGCTATAAATATTTTTGTGCATATAGGTCCTTTTCTTTTTTGTTTTTATCTCTTTTGGGATACAGACCTACTATAGGTATTGCTGGGTCAGAGTATGCATGGTTTCATAGGCCTTTGGGCATAGTTTCAAATTGCTGTACATAATGGTTGAATCATTTCACAACTCCACCAACAGTACATTAGTGTCTCATTTTTTCTACATCGCCTCCAACATTCGTCGTTTTTCTTTTTTGTCCTGTTAGTAAATCTAATAGGTGTGAGGTGGTACCTCAGAATTGTTGTAATTTGCATTTCTCCAATCAATAGTGATTTTGAGCATTTTTTCATATAATTATAGATAGTTTTGATTACTTTGTCTGAAAGCTGACTTCATATTTTTTGACCATTTATCAATTGGGGAATAGCTCCTGTTTTTTTAAATTTGACTCATTTCTCTCTATATTTGAGAGATGAGACCTGTCTCAGAGAAACTTGCCTTAAATTTTTTTCACAGTTGTGATTGCCAACTGTATATCCCTCCATCCTGTTTCCCCCCTGTTTTTTCTGTTCTTTCTCTCTTTTCTCTCTGTCCCTCCTCAAAAGTGTTTTGCTTCTGACTACCACCTCCCCAGTCTGCCCTCCCTTCCATGAGTACCCTCTCCCTTCCCTTATCCCCTTCCCCTCCTACTTTCTTTAAGGGTACCCAGTTGAGTGTGTATGTTATTCCCTCTTTGAGCCAATTCTTATGAGAGTAAGGTTCAAGTGTTCCCCATTACCTCCCCCATCTTCCCCTCCACTATAAAAGCTCTCTTGCCTCTTTTATGTGAGATAATTTACCCAATTCTACCTCTCCTCTTCTCTCAGTGCGTTCTTCTTTCTCATCCCTTAATATTATTTTTTTAGATATCATCTCATTATATTCGACTCAAACCTGTGCCCTCTGTTTATATATACTCTTTCAAACTGCCCTCATAACGAAAAAGTTTGTGTGAGTTACAAGTTTCATCTTCCCATGTAGTAATGTAAATAGTTTAACCTTATTAAGTCCTTTATGATTTCTGTTTCCTATTTACCTTTTTATACTTCTCTTGAGTCTTATATTTGAAAGTCAAATTTTCTATTCACCCCTGGTCTTTTCATCAGGAATACTTGAAAGTCCTTTATGTCATTGAATATCCATTTTTTCCCCTGAAGGATTATACTCAGTTTTGCTGGGTAGGTGATTCTTGGTTGTAATCCTAGCTCCTTTGTCCCCCAGAATATCATATCCCTTAAGGCCTCTGATCCTTTAATATAGAACCTACTAAAGCTTGTGGTTATCCTGACTGGCTCATGATAACTTGAATTATTTCTTTCTAGCTACTTAACAATATTTTCTTCTTGGTGTAGAAACTCTGGAATTTGACTATAATATTCCTGACATTTTTCATTTTGGGATCTCTTTCAGGAGGTGATCAGTGGATTCTTTCATTTTCTATTTTACATTCTGTTTCTAGAATATCAGTGCAGTTTTCCTTGATAATTTCTTGAAAGATGTTGTCTAGACTCTTTT